TGCAAGTTCACTATGGTGCTTTGGGGTGCCTTGGAATACAGTTTGAGAACCACAGGGTCAGGCCAATTCGGAAGACAGCCTGGAGTTGGGACCGGCCTGGGGGTCCAGGGCGGCCCTCGAGATCTAAGAGGTTCTGAGGCTCCTGCCTCAACCATTGTATTCAGCAATTAGCGGATGAGTTACAGGGGAGGGGACCCCTAGGCCCCAGGTAGAGTGAATTCTAGTGTCTATGAAGTTTAGGAAAATTACAGTCGGGTGATAATCCAAGAAAATTAAAAGAGCAATGGGAGTTATTTTCTTTCTTTCCCTCCTAGAAGTCGTACTGTGGAGGACTGTCCCACGATTTATATTTCTTATTAATTCTAACCACTAAACTCGAGCTTCTCCCTACACCCACCACAAGATCTGTTATAACTAAAGTTTTTCTTTTCTTTTCTTAGGAATTAAGCTTAAAAATGTATTTTAACTTAATGATCATCTAAATGGCTTCTCTGGGTTCCTCTTTCAGTACTTCCCACCCAGGCTTCATTTCTGCTTCTGCTAGTGGGTGACATTTGGGACACCAGTGATCCTGGGTTTCCCTTGGAGCAGCCTTAGGGCATGTGCTCTCAGGGGAGAGTTGGGGAGAGTTGGAGAGTTTCCAACTTCTAGAAGGTTCTCTGACTTCAGAGGCCGTGGCGTTGCTATTCCCCCACCCCCAGCATCCTCAGCCGCTGTCATCTAAGCACTGCAGTTACAAGCCCAGATTCAGCGGGGGCCCTGTTGAGGGTCAGATGGTATTGCAGTCTGCATCCTGTCAGGTACAGTGGTCGGCAAGGAGGAGGAAAGGCCATTAGTGCCACCGGCCATGGTTAGAGCTTTAAGCGAAACGCCCACCTGGCCCCCTAAGCACTGTGATAATATTAAAGTGAGTCTGTAGAGCAGTTTTTCCGGGTCGTTTTCTCTAGGATTCAGGCGGCCAGTCTCCAGGCTCCCCCAGAGAGAGGAAGTCGTCTCCGTCCATGTTCACTGAGCGGTGCTTTGGCGGTGCTATTTCTGACCCTGGCATTCAAGTCTTCTGCAGCCGTTATGTTAGCTGATGGCTACTTAGAGCCCAGTAAAGGTCAGAACCATCAGACTGAACCGGAAAAGGAGACAGCTCTCCTCATGGCAGAGGCCGGGGTAGAAGTGTGACAGTTGGGGGGTCTGCGAGCCTGGCCCAGCACCCTCCTCTGGGGTTCCTGAGCTCCCTGTGTCTCGTGCTCCTCCCTCCCACCCTGCTCTGCTCAGTTCTTCATTCAGGCTGACTTGTATCGGGCAGTTTTATGGGTTAGAAATCATGAGTTTTCTTATTTTTTAAATTTTTTTTAACACCTACAGCACCTGGTCTTCTTAGGTGGTCTCCCATCCAAGTACTAACCAGGCCCAACCCTGCTTAGCTTCTGAGATCAGACAGGATC